AATAAATAAATAAATAAATAAAACAAATAAATACATCAATAAATAGAAAAAAAATTGACACCAAGCAACAACTTTAAACAGATAGAAATGCGTACCAGTTACATTAGAACTACAGTCAACAAAGTCCTAGATGGTCACCCAGTATCGAAGAGAAAAGTGGCTGTCTTAGACAAGTGGATGGACTTTATGGGATAGTGTGGAAAATGGTATAGGTTTAACGCCCCTTTTTAACACTGTTAGATCATTTAAGAGGTGAGACCTCCGAGTTTAACGGCCATCCCTGAAAGGGACGAGCCAAGTAGGAAATTCGAGTAAAGTGCCTTTCTTCTTCCAAAGGACAAAACGCTCAAGTCCCCGATCCCGCAATCTCACGACTACGAGTCCGGTAGCCAAACCACAAGGCTACCGAGGTCACCTGGGATAGTATCGGTATACATAAAAAATATAATAAAGGAAAAACAAAAACAAAATACATTGAGGCAAGTCGGAAGTGGTCGTCTGTAAGGGTGGTTGTCTTGGGCAGTAGACCTTTAGAGCAAGTTCGACCATATTCCTTCCAACCCCTCAGGTAAGAGAGGATTAATTAACTCATTGCAGCTGACCTGTTTTCCCGACTCCTCTTGCTCCCAGCACCAGTATCCTGTACTCCTCCTCGAAGACGGAGCCGTCACTTTCGGAACGGAGCCGCTCCCTTCCTCGCTCTGTACCGCACCACATGGTGGTCGATTCCGACACTGAGGAGTTCGAAAGTAAAGGAAAAGAGTTGGTCCACTACAAGTTACCGTCTTTCCTTTTCCCCCGCCTGTATATCTGTCTGTCTGCCAGTCAGTCTGCTCTGTTTGAAAGTGAATGAAAAGAATTGATGTGCCATTTTGTCTGCTAATGTCTGTCTGTCTGTCTGTCTGTCTGTCTGTCTGTCTGTCTGTCTGTCTGTCTGTCTGTCTGCCTGTCTGTCCGTCTGTTTTTCTGTCTGTCAGTAGGTATGTCCTGTAAAACGAGCATATATCTACTGTTGAGAAAAAGACAAAAGTCCGACAGACGAAAAATGCACACGCACAAAATAATGTATAATTCGTGTCTCTTTAAAGGATAACTATTTGGGAAGCTGTAAATGTGCATTCTAAATATTTAAAGTTTTTGTATATATATTTTTTTACAGCATTCACGAACCGAATGTGTAGATTGGTTTAAATAGAGCTTCTTTAGAACAAACCAAAAGAAGAGTAACGTATCTTTTTTTAAAGCCCCAACTAGGATTTGTTTAGGATCTGTGTTGATAGAGACGTAAAGTCTGAAACGAAGAAAGAGCACAAAAAACCAACATAAGACTGATGTGGTTCTGTGCTCTGTGCTGAAGAGAGGCGTTCCCAATCCTCTTGGGGCGATTTGTAGTACGAAGAGAGAGAGAGAGAGAGAGAGAGAGAGAGAGAGAGAGAGAGAG